TTTTTTTTTAATTTATTTTTTTTTTTTTTAATTTTCTTTTAAATTTTTTTTTTTTTAAATATTTTTTTTTATTTTTTTTTATATTTATTTAATTTTATATATATATAATTTTTTATATATATTTTTTATTATGTTTATATATATATCTCTCTATAGATATATATATTTATATATAGTTTTAAATTTTTTTATTTTTTTTTATTTTTTTTTTATTTATATATATACAAATATTTATATATATATATACTATATATATATATATATATATATATATATATATATATATATATATATATATATATATATATATATATATATATATATATATATATATATATATATATATATATATATATATATATATATATATATATATATATATATATATATCTTTTTAATATGTGCATTACCTTTAAATCAACTAATTCGATTTCGCCATATTCAGGCCACGAGGAAGGGGGGCGCGAGTCTTCGATAAATGCAGGTGCTTCACTAGGTATGTGGCAGTATTGATGAATCCTTTCTATGGAGATTATTTTGTTTTCGAGCTTGCAAAAACTGAGTATCCATCTCGATAAACGGGCATTCAAATTGAGGCCGTATGTCACAGCAAGACCCGCCATACCTATTTTTTTTCATTTTTAATCATAGCACGAAAAATTGTCCGTTACATGATAACAAAAGTGACACTTTCTATTTCATTGGCAATATATTTTTTATACGTCTGATTAAAGTCGATGGTTTATGGAAACACTACTTACTTGGATCAATAGTACCATGTGGGAAGCTCACAAGTAAAATCATGCAAAAGGCAAACACGATTGTGGAGAGCAACTCCATGCGCAAGCAAAGCCATTCGATAGCTGAAAGACTGCAAAAGAATGGTCGGGAAAAGCAGTCGAGTAGATAAAGATTCCTCTTCATAAATCTCTTTTCTTGCCCAAACCCTCTAATTGTAGCTGCTCCAGCAATCGATTCCGCAAAGAGATGAATCACCGGCGATTTCTGGATGCTAACAATACGAACTAGTTCTCTCGATGAAGCCATATAATATTTCTGCCAAAAAAAAAAATATCAGAGCAATGCAGCTTCATCAGTTCCCAAAAAACGACACTTGTCCACAAGCCAATGGATAATAAGTGTACGAACATATCGAGGGTAGAATTGTCAATACTAGCTTACCTGCATCCACAAGCACGCAATTGCCATTGGAACAACAAGAAGAAGAATCTGCCAGGTCACCTGTGTCATAACACCTACGATACCAAGAAGTTGAATTGTCGTCGAAGCAAATCCACCGAGTCTGAACGGAATATCAAGATCCACAACACTTTGATCAATCGACACCTGGTGGATTACCCAAAATAAATCAAACAAGGGAATTTTGAAGAAAAAAAGAAAAAAAAAAAAGAATCTTAAAATTTGTCCCTACGCGATTAAGTATGCGGCCAGCTGGCGTAGAGTCGAAGAAAGACATGGGAGCACGAAAAACATTTCGGAGCATTTTCAGAAACAATTTCTGAGCAGCAGCGAGGCCAAAAGTGGCGACAAGAACAGCCCTGATAAATATGAACCAAGAACTGCCAAAAGCAAGCGCCATATATACGACAATAAGAACCATACTACTCGTTTTCGCTTTATCGCCCGCAGTTTGAGGGTTGGCCCAAGCCATCCACCAACTACTCGCTATTTGCAGGACCTGAAACAACGTCTGTGCAAGTATAATACACGGAATCAAAAGCCCCTTATAAGCAGCAGTCATATACGATAGATACACTTTCATGCTGACTCTGCCTCGCTCTCGTTCTTCGTCCTGCACGAGCTGCTTTCTTCTAGAACGTTTGGCTTTCTTCTTTTCCTTGATTGCTTTGTTCTGGTCTGAAGTTGAGGGTGTACTAGTTTGTTCGACTTCGTCTGCCATGGCTGCGATGTTATTACCAACCGATTCGCATTTCTTGCTCATGAGAACTGAACTGTCGGGTGGGTAGTGTGTCTCCGATTCTTCGGAGGGTTGGCTGCAAAAATCCATTGCTTCGATTGCTTCGTGATGGGCGGAGACTAGTGCGTTGAAATCTGTTCCTGCTTGCAGAAGTTCGTCGTATTTTCCTGCTTGGATAATACGGCCTTCCTTTAGAACCTACACAACAAGGTACAATGACATGCAGCAGACAATCAGCAAGAATTTGAACGAGCAATAATCGGTGTTAATACCATCTGAATCATTGTATTTCTTATCATATGGAATTCTACGAGTACGAGCATTTATGCATGCAGAGGATGATTTCTCGTATTGAAGTCAATGAAACAGAGTATATATGAGGTACATGCATAGTAAATTGTAGGCCTTTCTAATATCGTTTCAGTTTTACACTTTAATACTCGAGACTGGGGATAATTACACTTTCTGCCCCTATACTATACCACTTACTCACTTTTCGTCCCTATAATTACAAAATTGGTCCTTAACGTTGCCATTTTTCAAAACTTTAAATCCTACCTTTACAAAATATTGGCCACGTGTAAATTAGTTGTTCGTTTCAGTTGGTCAATATTGAAAAAAATTCACTCCACGTCAGAATTCCATCTAACTTAACAGCAAATTCTAACAGAAGGACTGAAACAACAGAAAAATGACGTAATTGAGGATCAATTTTGTAACCCTTGATCGTGAGAATGAAAAAGTGACGTAGTATAAGGACGAAAAATGCAATTATAAACCGGGATCGCATAATTATGACCAAAACTGGTCCGGAATTGTGATAAAAAAAATTACGACTTTAGGCATAAAAAAATGGTACAAAAGTAAGCCAACTCGCAAAATTAGAAATGACAAAAAAATAGGTAGCACTAAAAACAATACCAAAATCAAGTCGGCGGCAGGCAAAAATTCAACTTGATGAGTAACAAAGACAACAGTCTTTGTAGCTAACGCCATCAGTATATACTCCTGCAGTTACACCAAAAATATTTTGTTTAGCAAGACTCGAATCGGTTTATACAACACAAAAATATGCACACAAAAAAAAATATATAAAACCTTAAATAACTCCGAGCCAGTGTGTGCATCAACTGCACTAAAGGGATCATCCAGTAAATAAATATCCGCATCGTGATATAAAGCCCTGGCAAGTTGCACCCTTTGCTTCTGACCGCCACTAAGATTTATGCCTCGATCTCCAATAATAGTTTGATCACCGTGCGAAAACAGCTCCAGATCCCTCTTCAACGAACAAGCATGAATAACACGCTTGTATTTCGCCTTATCCATCTGACTTCCAAAGAGAATATTCTCCTCTATATTCCCTGATTGTATCCACGCAGATTGAGATACGTATGCAGCAGAACCGCATATTCTAACCTGATCATATATTAAACATAGAGATTCAGTCATTAAAATTCCAAGAAATATGTTATAGAAAAATTGATTATAAACTTAGAAAACTTACTTCACCGGATATTTTTGGAATCTCACCAAGTATACTAGAAAGGAAGCTAGATTTCCCCGAACCAACCACACCACATACAGCCACACACATTCCTCTCTCTACTCTGAATTGTATACCCGAAAGGGTCGGATTTGACGAAGACGGGTCCCACCCGAATTCTCCATCTTTAATTTCTATGGCCACATTCGAAATACCACGTGGCAAGGCAATGGTTGCATCTTCTCTCAGCTCTTCCTCCTCCAAGAATTCCGTTATTCGATCGAGCGAGACTTTAGTTTGAGCCATCATCGAAACCAAGTCGGGGAAATTTCTAAGCGGCTCTTGCAGTATCCGGAAAGTAGCCAAAGCCGAAAGAACGCTGCCAGCTGTCAGCTGACCGCCCAACAAGACGCAAGTGCCGAAAGTAATAGCCGACACGAAAATAGGCGAGCTCCAGAAAATAAACGTGATGAAAGCCTGCGAGTAGAGAGCTTTCTTGAGGTACTTAAACTCCACACTACGCATCTCTTCGAGCATCACTCGGTATCTTTCCTCCCAAGCCTGCGATTTGAGGATCCTCATATTTCTAAGGCATTCGGAAGTTTTCCTCATTCGATCGTCTTTTGCCGCCATTAACTTGTCTTGGTAATCCTCTTGAACCCTGGCCAAAGGAACAGTCGCAACAATCGACACAATGGTGGCAATAAGTGTCGCAACAGATGCAATTCCGACATTCTGGTACAGAATCGCGAGCGCGAGTATAATTTGTAAGGGAAGCATCCATATATCGTGCAAATACCAAGAATAGTCGCCCACTCTTTGAACATCAACCGCCATGTAGTTGACTATCTCTCCGCTCGTGTGGCTCTGCCTAGCCGAGCTAGAAAGCCGAAGCCCCTTTCTGTACACCATTGCAGTGAGAGCCGATCTCACATGCATGCCCAAAATGTCGACACCTAAATACCACTGTCGAGTTGTGAAGGTCTCGACCAGCTTTGCACTAAAGAAAATCGCAGCAAGAACGTAACCCTCGTGTGGGGAAGTCTCGTTGCCACCTAGATAATCAACAAAGTACCTAATCAAGTACGGGCCCACGTAGGAAACGAGGGTGCTCGCCCCTGCGAATATCCCATTGCATGCAGCTTCTTTCCAGAAAGTCTTGAAGATAGCCCAAGCTAAAGAGGGTTTCTTTACAGGGTCTTCGGCCTTTAACTTCTCCCAATTCGAGTTCAGTGCTTTGTAGTTGGTTTTGGAGCGATCTTTCGGAGCGAGCAAGGGAATGTCTTTGAGCTCGAGCGGTCTTTTCGCTCCGGTCGAGAGGAGCGGATTCAGCCACGAGAGAGTGACTAAACTGAAAATACCAGCATCGCTGTAGGGGGTGACTTTGAGACATCCGGCTTCTTCCTCGAGCAGCAACGGCTCTTGCAGATCCGAGTTTCGGCTTACTTGGATACCCGTGAAACCGCTAATCGCTATAAAAAACAGAAAAGAAAGCGGCGGCGTGACGGCGAAATTCCCCAAGACATGAGAGCTCAAATGGGCTGACCCTTCTGTAGAAAACCCTCTACCATCACCATACAGAGTAGACAAACACAGCACAAAAGATGTAAGCCACCAAATCCTCAGCAACAATGGGAATTTCTCGGAGAATTTGTATTTACAGTACAGGGCAGAGAAGCTAAGAACAAACCAAGCTAAACTCTGGGCAGCGGGCAGCAGCAGAACAGTCCAATGTGTTTGTTTGCCCGTGCCCTGAGTCGCCTCTTTTATCAGACGAAACCCATCAAACCCCAATACAGAAACTTGCACAAGCAGAATATAGAAGCTGCAAAAGAGTGTGGCTTTGTAGCTTCTGCTAACCACGAGGCTCTGGATTTCCTCACGGTCCGCCGCCGCCGCCGCCGCCGCCCTCCGCCGGAGGGCGGCGTGGTTGGAGGAGTCCTCCTTGGTGACTCGAATCCGGCCGAAGCAGACGAAAACCTGCCGGGCGGATACGATGAAGAGGAAGACGAGGAGCAGCGTCAAATTGATGCAGACGGAGGCTAATTCTAGAATCGGGACGCGGTGGATTGTCTCCGGGAGGTGGTTGGTCTGTGGTGATTCAGATGCGGCGGCGAAGAATAACGATGGTAATAGATTGATACCCATAATATTAATTTACAGATATCAATCTCCGAGCCGCGAAAATTATGGCGATGGCTGGAATCAATTGATACAAGCGGAGCGAAGATCACAGTGGTGCTGCTGTTGCTATTGTTATTAATATAAATGGGATTCGATGAAAAATAGTGCGACGGAGATTGAGAGATCAAATCGTGTAAAGGGCATTTCACCATCTGGCAATGGAGATTGTCACCTAATGCAATGACAAGTCACGGAGAGAGAGAGAGAGAGAGAGAGAGAGAGAGAGAGAGAGAATAGGGGGTGGTGGAATCTGCGCATGAAAACAAAAACTCTCGTTCATCCTCATCAAACCCAATACCGAATACCAACATAATATGCAGAGCAGTATTTTAAATAAAATAAAAAACAGAAAAAAAATGGGGCCTTTTAATCTCTCTCTCTCTCTCCTTCTCTCTCTCTCTATCTCCGGTATACATGTTTATCTCTCTAGAAAGGAAAAAGAAAATGTGGGCAAGATTTGAATTTGACACCAACCCATTAAAGAAAATACAAAAATCTGACCTGGGCTTGTGTTACTTTTCCCGGAGAGATCGTTTGTCGAGCCGGTGGTGAATATCGAGGCAATTTTCTTTTTTTCTTTCTCTGTAAATACAAATTTTAAGCGAATAAATTAAAAAGGATGATGAGCAACAAACCCCACAAACCCACAGCTATAAGAGCTGCTAGCAGTGGAATTTCTTTTTCTAGCCTAATGTGTATATATATATATTGATCAAGAACGGAGCTCTAACATTAATATATATATATACAGGGGTAAATTACGTTCACCTTATGAGTTAATATTAAATTACTCAAAGACCCTTTTTGTTTGACTTATTACAACTATCCCTCAACTATAAATTTTTTTACACGTCCACTCTTGTGGTGTCAAATTTAGTAGAATCTTCTAGATTATGTAGAATATTCTCTAGTTTATACCGGTGTTTACCACATTGAGCTCCACATTTTAAATCGAGATAATCATAAGATGTGTCTTTTGGCTTGTAAATATGAGATTATGGTGTATCAAAAACTGCATTGTTTACAAAACAGAGTATAAACTAGAGAATATTTCACGGAATCTAGAATATTATATTGAATTTGACACTAGACGTGTAAGAAGATTCATAATCAAAAGATTACCAAACATCAGGGGTTTTCGTAATTTACACCATATATATATATATATATATATATATTATTTTGTAGTTATTATGGGAAGTAAAAGAAAAAAAGACATTCTTGTCAACAAGCATTATTCAATTATTCAGTGCTGAGACTTATGTTTTCAGTTGGTGATTATTTTATTTGTTGGTAGGTGCGATAGAAGGGCGAATATTATACTAAGATTAAAAAATAATTATCATGGCCGTGAATTACGATGCCTTCTTACACAAATAATTAATTTATACTATGATAGATGATTGATTTGATTCCGTTTAGGTAAATCATTTTTTTCCCTTTTCTTCTTTTTGGTGTTTGAGGGTTGAATGAATTGATTGAAAATATTGGCTTAATTTCACTTTGCACCCTTGAAATATACCATTTTGGCACTTTGCACCCTCGAAACAAATTAATAGCACTTTGCACCCTCGAAATACAATGCTCTGTTTGGTAAGCTTTTGGGCTTCCATTTCCATTTTATTTTTGGGAAAGATGTTTTGGGAGAAGAATTTAAAAATTAAATAAAGTTTGTTTGTGTTTTGGGAGGAGACAATTTGTACTGTAGCAAGTCAAATCATGTCTGAAAGGTGTTGAGAAAAGGTATTTTGGAAGAAGAATTTAAAAGATAAAGTGATTTGATTTTGTATTTTATTGAAGACAATTTTCACTGTAGCGGTCAAATCATGTTTGTTAGAGAGAGAATTATTTGAATTTGTTTTGGGAAAAGTTTTTGAAAATAGTGTAGAAAAATAATTTTCATTTTGGGGAAAGTGTGAAAAGAATTTGAAAATGCTAACAAACATAACCAATAAATCAGGCATAATGCACCCCAAATGAATTTTTAAAGTTAAAAAATGTAATTTAATATTTGTAGTGATATTTTTTTTAGGATGTCAAATGTCAAATATTTTTTTTATTCATCAATCATTTTGAAACTATAAAGTTCAAAAACAAAAATAAATTTTATCTATATATTAATTTTTTATTTATTTATCAAATATCAAATATTTTACGGCAAAAAATCATTCAACTATTCCGTTATCAAGTAATCTGAAAATCATATTTTCTTCCAAGTATTTTCACCTCATATTTTCAAAAAGTTACATAAAAGCTCCATCAATCGAATAATTTAGTAATAAAAACTTATTTTTTATTTTTTATTTTAAATCCAGTGTAATTTTTATTTTTTCGCACTTTGTCCGCTCGAAATTAGGTTGGAGGTTCAAGAAAATAACAATTTATTTTTTTATTTTGCACCCCGAAAAAAAATACCAATGAAAAATGAAATTGTCTTTATTATTCAATTCAGGGTGCATTGTGAATGATTTATTGTGTTTTGAGGGTGCAAAGTGCTATTAATTTGTTTCGAGGGTGCAAAGTGCCAAAATGGTATATTTCAAGGGTGCAAAGTGGAATTAAGCCGAAAATATTGGGCACTTTTGAAAAGGATTCAATTTCGTTCCAAAGGTATGCAAATTTTGAAATCGAATTTTTAGAAATTGGAATGGAAAAATTATGTTCCAAAGTCGTAAGTTTTCGGACTGTAACCATTGTCAATTGAATAGGGGTGTGCACGGCTCGGTTCGGTTCGGTTTTTGGCTAAAACCGAACATGAACCGAATATATCGGTTTTTATAAAATTAAAAATCGTGTATGTCGGTTTTTTATCGGTTCGGTTTCTTTCGGTTTCGGTTTTTTTCGGTTCGGTTTCGGTTATTTTTCGGTTCAAGAGTAACTATATATTCAAGTTGTATAAACAAAAGAATACAATTACAATTAATGACTTTCACAACTTACAATTACAATGAAAATATAAAATCTTTAATCCCATAGGACTTAACGTAATGTAGATGATGTATTATGCTTCATTTTTTTCCCTACTTTCATCTACCACATTATTAAAACCATGAACTCAAGTAAATTTTTAATTACTAAATAAATAAAATACAATGTCTCAATTTATGAACAAATGCTTAGAATGAGACAAGTAATTGAAAGATAGAAAATAAAAATTAGGGTAAAATAATACATATGGTTAACTCTTTATTAGTTTTTTGCTTAAGACGAGTTTTATCAACTTATAGAATAATAATTTTCATCTTTAATTCTTTATGTTAACAATTGATTCAGAGATGGCCATTATTTCGGGTTTTTTTTTTATCAAAGAAATGAACAATTAGATATACGTATCTTGTAGTTACATAATGTCTTGCTTACTGTCTGGAATTCTGGATTTTTGATTCAGAGATGGCCATTATTTCGGTTTTTTTTTTTTCGTTTTTTATATCAAAGAAATGAACAATTAGATATACATTGTGCCATTTTATGATGTTTAGTGTGGTCGTATTTTTTTATTGTAGTGCCTAATGTTGTTTTTTGATGTTTTTATTAGTATCTTGTAGTTACAAAATGTCTTGCTTAGTGTCTTGAATTCTGGATTTTTGATTCAGAGATGGCCATTATTTTGGTTTTTGTTTTTGATTTTTTTTTTATCAAAGAAATGAACAATTAGATATACGTTGTGCCCTTTTATGATGTTTAGTGTGGACATATCTTTTTTATTGTAGTGCCTAATGTTGTTTTTTGATGTTTTTATTAGTATCTTGTAGTTACAGAATGTCTTGCTTACTGTCTGGAATTCTGTATTTTTGATTAAGAGATGGCCATTATTTCGGTTTTTGTTTTTGTTTTTTTTTTATCAAAGAAATGAACAATTAGATATACGTTGTGCCCTTTTATGATGTTTAGTGTGGACATATCTTTTTTATTGTAGTGCCTAATGTTGTTTTTTGATGTTTTTATTAGTTGTCGAGCACGTTTCTCCTGGTGCCGCGCTGATTCCTAGTGAAGAATATGATGTTAGTAAGGTTGGTTAATGTATTTTCTTTTGTAAATTGTATGATGTTTTTACTTGTTTGACAAAATTATTCTTTTTCGATATATTTAGTATGTTTTTTTTTTTAAATCTTTGTTTTTTGCTTTGCCAATAATAGGAAGATGATCAAATGAACAAACAAATTTAAGCCACGGTTGCTGCCCTTGCGGCCTTTGTTGGGGCATTGTCCACGAGCTTTTGGGCTCTTTACGGCAACGTCGTCAAACCCTACGATAAGCCTAGCTTTGTCGTTAGGTAGTATCAAATTGTTTTGTATTTACATCATTAGCGCTCGTCTTATGTATTTGATTGGACGTTTGAAGAAGACCGGACGTCCTTCCGTATCAAACGGCGTCAGATACAGTATTTTTCCTTTATATGTACTTGTATCGCTATGTCTGAGTTGTACGTTTTTAGTAGTTATAGTTACAGTTGCAGCTTTTTGACATAAGTGTGATTGATTTTTGTAGTTGTATACGTGTTTCCAATTATTGACTTTCGTAGTTTGTTGTAGACGAGTTTCTAATAAGAGTCGGTTAAATTTGATACACTCTAACTTTCACTTGTAACAATTCTTTTGATTTTCATCGATTCTAATTCAGAATCTTTCAATATTGGAACTATTTTTCAATTCGAGTTTCGAAATTTCAATTTTCAATTTTTTTTGAAATTACTTGGACCGGAATTGGAATTAGGGGTGTGCGCGGCTCGGTTCGGTTTGTTTTTTGGCTAAAACCGAACATGAACCGAATATATCGGTTTTTATAAAATTAAAAACCGTGTATGTCGGTTTTTTATCGGTTCGGTTTCTTTCGGTTTCGGTTTTTTTCGGTTCGGTTTCGGTTATTTTTCGGTTCAAGAGTAACTATATATTCAAGTTGTATAAACAAAAGAATACAATTACAATGACTTTCACAACTTACAATTACAATGAAAATATAAAATCTTTAATTTCATAGGACTTAACGTAATGTAGATGATGTATTATGCTTCATTTTTTCCCCTACTTTCATCTACCACATTATTAAAACCATGAACTCAAGTAAATTTTTAATTACTAAATAAATAAAATACAATGTCTCAATTTATGAACAAATGCTTAGAATGAGACAAGTAATTGAAAGATAGAAAATAAAAATTAGGGTAAAATAATACATATATTATATAAAATGAAGTCGTTTTATAATTTCGGTTCGGTTCGGTTTTTCGGTTCAATTATTTACCTTGCAGTGGCGGCACTTCTAAGGGGCAGGGGGGCAGTTGACCCCCCAAGAAAAAAAAAAAATTAGCTATTTTGACACTGTATTTTTTGAATATTACTTTTGGCTCCCCCAAAGGTTTTGTAAATATGTGTCTTAACCCTTAATTTTTTTGTTTATTCTTCATAATTTTATATAAATTATAAATGTATATCATATTTAATATAAAAATATAAAATAAAATGGTTAAAACTTATACTATTTTAAATAAAATTTATGAATATTTACTTATCCGATTTTTGATTTTTTTTTATATCAACGTCTCTAAAAAATAATATGAGACGGTGCCATAAAACCTAAGTGCAATATATTATTAGAATAATTTAGATTTTTTTGTCATGCTTGAAATATGATATATATATATATATATATATATATATATATATATATATATATATATATATATATATATATATATATATATATAAATGT